ATAACGTCATACATGCAAAAATTATGATACTGGTTAATATGCTTCTAAGTATATTCTTATCCCTGAATTCAACTTTCATCTTCCGAAACTAAGGAATATCCTTTTAAATTTGTGTGAAAAATAGTTTTTAGTATGTTTATGTTTTGTAAATATAATAAATAGCATAAGGACAAACATTCTAAATATTGAACTATATTTACCACAATATATTTTTTTGCACGAACAACTGTATGTTGCACTTTCAAGAGGGATATAAAGATCGACAACAAGAGTTCTGGTTAAAGTAGAGCAACCAACGCATTAGGAGGAAACATACAAAAAAAAATATTGTCAACAAAGAAGTGTTCATTAAGATACCATCACATTAAATACTTTTGAACTATAATATATAATTATCTAACTAACATGACAAATTGATCATTTGTGTAAGTTTTGATGACGTCCTTTTATTTTAAATTCATATATTATGCTAATGTAATAATATTTTCGGCATTTAGATGATTGTTGTAATATTATATATAAAATTTCTCTCATTAATTAATTTTTATTGTTCTTCATATAAATAAATGTTTAAATCCTCACGTGCCATTATTAACGTGCAACGCACGTTCATAGATATTAGTATTTTAAAATGCGGGGACGTAAGGCGACGATTTACCTATGACGAGGTGAGACGTAAGCCTGAGACATGGGGCGTAAGTCCCACAGATCTTTAAATTTTACTAATTTCAAGAATTTTAAGACAGTATAAAATAAAAAATATTACAAAAATTACATTAAAAGCACAAAATTATAACAAATAATCTATTTAAAATATTTATAAATTATAATTTAACTATGAATAATATGAAAAGTATGACATATATCATAGTATGCAAATTAGCTGCAACGTCGTTACAACTCAAACATCACAAGTAATGTATTCGATGCGAAATCTTATATATATCTCTTAAGCAGTAATGAATCTTGAAAGAATTTTGATATTATAATTTAACTTTTTTTAAAATACTCCTTTTATTGAATATGCTTTCTATTTAAAAGAAAATTTATATAAAAATATTATTCACAAATAAATATGATTCTCTAGCATCATTTATTTTTAAGTTTCAACAAGTTAATAAAGCGACACATAATTTACCATACTATACTATGATAACTAATTATTTGTAAGTAGTTACTAGCTAATACCGAGCTATTAAATTAATAAGTATTGTATCTCGTAAACGTGAAAAAATAATATTTAGGAAAATAATTATAAAAAAAATTACGGACTATTATATAATAAAGACATAACAAAAGTTAATAAATAAATACTTTTAAATGAAAGATTTATTTAAAATTTACTATTATAGTAGTCTTAGTGGATAACGTACAATAATTTTTATTTTAATTATGATATAAAATACTTTTAACTTAATAATTTACAATTAAAAAAAAGAATTTTAAATAGCATGATTTATTAAGAAAATTTGAAAATTTACATGTTAGTTAGACACAATTGTATAAAATTTTATTAGGCGTAGGCCTGTCACTGAACTAATATTCTGCCTTTTAAAACAAAGAGGTAACCATAATGCTATTCTCTCTCAAAACTGACGTTTCAACTTTCAAAGCTTCTCTCCATTTTGATTTCAGTTTTCTCTACTCTTTGCTGTATTTCTGAGTTCTGGTGAGTTTTCTTTGCTGTATTCTGAGTTTTAGTGAAATTTCTTTGCTGTATTTCTGAGTTTTAGTGAGTTTTCGTTGCTGTATTTTTGAGTTCTGGTGAGTTTTCTCTCCATTCTTTCGTTTTTTAATTTTATGAAATGCTCATTCCTTCTTCGTTTGTTCCCACCTGTTTGTTGGTAATGGGAATTTGGTGAGTATCCTGTGGTTATTACTGTTGCTTGGATGGTTTTTCTTGCTGGGTTTTGTACATCCATGTCTATTAACATGTTTGATCAAGCTTGGGAAGCCAAAAAGGCTTTTTTAATTTTTTTTTAAAAAAATACTTATTTTAGAGAGTGAGATATTTGGCCAAACTTTAGGAAAAGAAGCACAAATCATTGTTCTAATAATGGCAAATATATTTTTCAAATTGATTAGCCAAACACTAAATTCTACTTTTAAAGAGTATTTTTCCTAAAAGCACAAAAAGCATTTTGCAAAATAAACATTTTAGAAGCTTGACCAAATGTGCTATTAAAATTGAATATGCATATATGAAAATAGCGTACATAAATAGGTGCATGTTTAGAATATATATATGTTTCATGATTTTGACTGCTTAAGATAAGTAATTTAAAGGTGAATTGAGCTCCTTCCAGGAGACTATTGGAAGTGGAAATGGAACTCAAAAAATAAAAAATAAAAAAAAAATCAAAATTGTTTTCTTTTTTTTTGTGTGTGTGTGTGTGTGTGTGTGTGTGTTTTCCTTTCTCTGTTATTACTGTTGCTATACGACAGTAAATGTTCATGATGTTTTTTTTTCTTTTGGCTGAAACCCCAACTCCCTAAAGACTAAAGAGCATAATAAGAGAATCTAGAGTCAAATGACGAGACATTGATTCTTTGGGTGGTTCTAGGTTTAGAGAATCACATTAGGTTTTAATTTAAACTTTTAGTTGCTTTGGGAGCCAACAAAAGAGTGTTAGTATGCTGGGTTATTGATCCATTTTAATGAATGTGTTTACCGTTTCTTTTTTTTACTTACCGTTTGCCTTTGGGACCGGAGGCGGATCCAGGATTTAAACTTAATGGATTCAACTTTGCATTGAACTCATTGTACTATTAAAATTATGAGTTAAGATCTAATATTTGTTGAGATTATAGTAGGCTTTTACATATATATATTTATATTCCGTGATAAAAGTTGTGTTCAGATGAACCCATGCCAAAAGGCTACATATGCCTCGGCTTTGGACTGGATTGTGATTGAAAGAATAAACTGATTTTGTAGTTTCGTTTGCATGTCAATCTTAGCTCCTATGATGAAACCAAAAAATCAATAAAAAGGACAATTGAGGTGAGTAGAAGTTGAACTTTTTTTAAGATAGCAGGTTTCATCACACTGAAAATTCCGGTTAACAGATCATAGAGGACTTTTGAGTAGAGTCTTCCTTTCAGAGGCACATTGAGTGATATATAAGAACTTACGAAACTTGAAGTATGGTAATAACAATAGAAGTTCATTCTACTGTATTTCTGGGATTTGATAGAAAATTAGGTGTGGAATCAAGTGCGTTTTAAGAAATTATGTGTTTTGGTAGGTTGGACTTCTCCTCCTATGGTTAATAAGTAGGATTCTAAATGATAGCTTTGACTCCTGCTGAAAGTAGAGGGGTTCTTATGTAGTTAGAATATGATCTTTTTCAACAGCTAGCTTGTGAAAAATATGCAAAATCCCTTCCTTTCCTTGCTGCACAACTCTTATGTAATTTTTCTCTGTCATTCTATCATGTGTTTTGATCTCTTCAGTTTTCTCTCTTGATTCAAAGCTCTTTCTTTCCACTTCATTCAATGTAATTTGACATTCTGTCATATATGCTTTCACCAAACGAGGATCTAAGTACAAGTAAAAAGAGATGGAAGCAACAATTGTAGAATCTGAATCTTCAAACAAGAGATAAAACCATCAATAACGTAAAAAGAAAAAAACATAAAGATGAGTCCCGCTCTCTTTACGGAGGAGTAGCTTTTCTGTCAAAGATGATTAAATAAAATAGGAGACTGGATCTAACTTGAGAAGCCTCTCCATCTGGCAATAATATTTCTCACTTCCCAGCACATGGATTCCTCTTTTCGGATATGACGTCAAAGCTCGGAACTGTATCTTAAAGCTTTACTACTCCTTTCTCTGCTTTTCAGACAACAAAAATATTATCACAAAATTTAAAGGTTGAAAAGGAAAGATAAAAGAACATACTTGGTGGTATAAATAGTAAGAAAGAAGTTAACCTCAATTTCTCCTATGATTTTGTAGTTCAAACCTAGAGTTCTCATTTTCTCTGTCATTTTTTGGCTTTCTTGCTCGGTTCTGGAATCATCTAAGATCAAATGACAAATGTCATTTTTGGCTTTCTTGCTCGGTTTGCTGCAACTTAAGTTTATACACTAAATGCTAGGTTAGTACTAGGGGGTTCACCGGTCCTCTTTAGTTTCTAAAAATTGAGCTTCAGTTCTACAATAATTGATATCCTTAAATAAGCCAGTAGGAGTAGTAAGTTAAATATTTAAATAAGAACATAAGAATCAGAATTTGGAAATTCTCTGACCTTGATCAAATGTTGGCGACAAATGGTAGTTACTGAAGCTGAACTCACTGTTTTCTACCCTGGTTAGAGGAACATGGGAAGAAAAGTTTAGGGAGGTCAAAGACGCAATTCCATAAGAATTATTAAGTCTGTAGAAAGTTTAACATATTTGTTTCTTATAAGCATATCTTAATTTAAAATATTTTCTTGAAAGCAGAAAGCTTGAAACCTCAAATTCACATCCATATCCCCTTTTTGCCACTTCTACAAGAATCACATTCCTAATGTTTAGTGTAGACTTTTTGGTGGGCTGGGTCAAGTTTCTTATGCTCTAACCTAATTATGAGTTCCCCCAATTTGAATAAACTTCAACTTTGGGAAAGACTAATAGATATATGTAGCACGAATAATTAGGAGGAGGATTCTCTCTTTATTTAAAGGAATCTTTTGTGTTTTTCTTTTTCCTGCTTTGATGAAACTCCATTTTGTTATGTTATAAAGAATTTGCTAAGTTTAATTTTGTAATTTAGAGTTTCTGTTCATATATAGAAATGGAGTGCCATGTGACAATTGTGAAAGTGCAGTTCTTATAAATACGTTAGTTAGATGAGTGTTTAAGGCTATAAGCAATGGTTCACGTGCTTTAATTCTTGGAAGCCTCATATTCTTCTGATTGTTACGTTAACTTACAATTTCACTATCTGTTCTCTTCCTTTTCCTTCAATGCCCGAGTTGTCTCTGCTTGGTTTAAGTGTAAAACGATTAACTCCAGTTTGATTTGTTAAATAAATCCTATGGGAATGAACAGATATTTGAAGTTCAACAGAAAGTCCTTTTGAGAACCCAAGAGAAGTGCCTATTGTCTTGGTTTTTTCCAAGTTAAGAATATCTGCACTAATATCCATTGCTCGCTGTTATTTTATAGATCCTCAATTCGTGTTCAAGCTAACATATTTGTGAATTATTTCAGAGAAAAACTATGACTTGATTGGTGAAAAGCAAGGTATCTACTGATGCGAGGAAGTCTTTCATCTGTGACCTACCAACTGAGATAATACATAAAATACTAGAGCGCATGCCTATCCGAGATGCTGCAATAACTAGCACCACACTACCACACCTTGTGTTTGATAGCCAATTTCTTGACTTTGCATTTAACTATTCATTTGACTATGAATTTGACGCAGGAGTGGGTAATGCTGCAAGGATAATCAATAAAATTCTCTTGCAGCATACTGGACCTATTCTCGGTTTCCATCTTATGTCAAATGATGATTATATGGGAAAGTATTTGGATCCATGGATCATCTTTGTCTCGAAGCATGGTATACAGAAGCTCACCATACATTTGCCCGATAGTCGTGAATATGAATTGCCTTATGGCATACTGACTTGCTCATCATTGACACATTTGGAGGTTTTTGCGTCCGCTGTCTTTAAGCCGTCCGATTGTGTCAAATTCCCCAATCTTGTTAGCCTTGAGTTAGAAGACACTCAAATTGAATGTAAGCTATTAGAAGATACTCTTATTTTGCCAATGCTCGAGACTTTGAAGTTGATATATTGTCGTGTTTTTTTCGTATGCGTTTAGTTGCTCCAAAACTTGAGAACTTAACTATCGATGACATCGATATTGAAAACCTGAACCCAATCGTTACAAGCATTAAGCACCTCAGCTTGGACGGGTCATCCCTAAAGGTCAGAAAATACCTTGCTTTGTAGTCTATGATTTGCAGTTGTTATTTTTGCAAAACAAAGTTATAACTAGAACTAATGTTTTATCTCTCACTCGAATTGCTTTTTTCAGACTTTAGCTGAGTTGTTTCATGTGCCAGCAGATAGGCTTGTTCTACCACAAAACCTGCAAACACTGAAAATATGTGACTTGAAGATTTCTGTTGAACAGTTTCCTTGTGCACTTATCCTGCTTCGTGGTTCATCTAACCTTTATGAACTTGACTTGAGTGTAGCTGTGCAGGTAAGACTTAATTACCCTGACTACGGACAATTAGTTTTTCTTTCTGTGTGTCCGGACATTTAACCTTCGGGGTTGAACCTATAGAGCTTAAATCTTGCATTCGCCTCTGTCTCAAGGTAGGGGCAAGGTCTGTGTACACACTGCCCTCCCCAGACCCCACTTGTGGGATTACACTGTGTTTGTTGATGTTGTGTTTGTGTTCATATACAACACTTTGTGAATGTTGCAAAGGTTGACTTGCTTGGTGCAATATGATGCTTCTTTAGGTTGAGGAGAGTGACATAAGGGAACTGTCTTCTTACTTGTCGAAGGCAGAAAGCCATGTGAATGAAGCTTTGAGTATGATTCAGAAGATGAGAGTAAAGGAATTCAAGGGATCAAGAGCTGAAATGTACTTAATAAAACTCCTCCTCGCTCATTCTCCAAAACTAGAGAAGATGATCGTTGAACAGTTCAAGAACTTTAATTCTGGTGAATGTATTGAACATCTGAAGGAACTGATCAGCTTTCCTCGAGCGTCAACCAAAGCAGTAATTAAGTATTTATAGTCTGATTCCCTTCAATCAAGGTATAACAACGTTCAGTTATTTGAATGTTATCAATATGCTAAACAATATTCATCAAAGCTATGTTGCACGGACTCTCCAAAATATTGCCGCACCCGTGTCAGATTTTTTGAAAATACACTACTTTTGAAGGATCCGACACGCACCCGGCAACATCTTTGGAGAGTGCGAGCAACATAGCATCAAAGTGTTACTAAAATTTGATTGACGATTGCAGTTTACTGATGCTTAAAGCCAGGGATTCACTTCTGAAACATGTCGTAGGGAAGCTAACGGAGTAGCGGACGCAAAGGAAGGATGCAATTTGAATATTTTTGGGAGCTTAAAGATTTTCACATCCCCTCCTACTTTTGTAATCGCTTTGTTTATTAGGCTTTAGAGAAAAATATTATTGCTTTTTAGTTGTTTATCTAATTAAGTCATGTTATTTCTTTGGTGGTTTTTGTATGTTGCTCTAAGTTTAATAGTCTAAGGAGCTTTTATCCTTTCAATTTAAAGAATTATTGCCATTATTTTTTCACAATATATGTTAGTTTGGTTTTAGCTTTTAGTATTGTTTAGTTAATTTTTTGTGATGACCCAAAAAGTTATCTTTAAATTTAATAATTAATTTTGTGTTCTAAGACCTCGAAAAGCACTATTTATCATTCCTCGACTTGCGTGCGTAGTCCGTATAATTTTTTGTAAAGTTTTTATATGAAAAATTGATTAAAATGTGAATTGGAGCCTTAAAGCTCAACTGAGTTGACTTTGGTTAACATTTTGAGCAAACTGACTCGGATTAGTATTTTGACAGTTCCGGTAGGTCTGTATCGTGATTTAGAACTTGAGTATATGCTCGGAATTTAATTTGGAGGTCTCTAACTTGAATTATCGCCAGTTGGCAAAAACTAGAAGCCTAAAGGCTTAAAGATTTCAAAGTTTGACCACAAATTGACTTTTATTGTTATGGGGGTCGGATTCGAGTTCTGAAAATTTTTATAGGTCTGTTATGTCATTTATGACTTGTCTGTCGAATTTGGTGAGAAACAGAGTTGATTTGATATGATTCGGACATTCGGTTGTGAAAATAGAAGTTTTAAAATTTTCTTGAAAATTTCATTTGATTTGGTATCTGATTCGTAGTTTTAGGCGTTATTTTGGTGTTATGTTCTCGCGAGCGAATTCGTATGATGTTCTAGGACTTGTGTGCATGTTTGGTTTGGAGCTCCGAGGGCTCGAGTGAGTTTCGGATAGCCTACGGACCATTTAAACTTTGAGAAAAATCTGTTTTTTAGCTTCTGCTGTCATCTGGTGCATTGTGCTTCGCGATCGCGAAGCCATTCCTGCGATCGCGAAGAGGAAAGTTGGACTGACACATTTTGTGCTTCGTGATCGTGATCGAGAGCACGCGTTCGCGAATGGTCGAAGTGCAAAGCTTTGCGTTCGCGATCAAGGCCTCGCGCTCGTGAAGAGGAAATGAGGCAGAAGCTAGGGCACTCAAATTTGTTCTTCGCGTGCGCATGAAACGGCCCGCGATCGTGTAGGCCTACGGGGTTATGCTTCGCGTATGGGATGTCGCATTCGCGTAGTGCAAATTCGCAGCCTGTGCAAAGCTTTGCGTTCGCGATCGCGAAGAGTAAAATGGACCTGGGCAAAAGTTGTTCTACGCGATCGCGAACGAAGTTCCGCGATCGCGATGAGTAAAAATATGGGCAAACAGAACTTAAGTTCTGGAAATGGGATTTCGACTCATTTTTCACCATTTTCGATTTTGAGCTCGGGTAAGATGAGTTTTGGGCGATTTTCACGGAAAAACATTGGAGTAAGTGTTCCTTATCCTATATTGATTATATTTCATGATTTCATACTCATTTATATCATGAATCCGTGAATTTATGGAAGAAAAATTAGATTTTTTATAAAATCTTCCAAAAATGTAAAATGAAGATTTGAAAGCCAATCCGATGTCGGAATTCGGTAATTTTTATATAGTTGAACTCGTATCGGAACAAGTGTTTGGATTTCGCGAGTTCTTCCAGGATTCAAGATGTAGGTCCCACTGTTGAATTTTAAAATAAATTTCGGATTTTTATCTGAAAAATTTGGAAATTCATATGGAATTAATTTCTACGATTTGTATTGAGTATATTTAATTCTTTATGACTAGATTTGAGAATTTCGGACACGAATTCGCGAGGCAAAGGTTTGTTGGATTCTTGAAATTTGGTTACAAAGCGAGGTAAGTGTCGTGGTTAACCTTGACTTGAGGGAATAAAACCCTTAAATTATTTACTACGTGAATTTTATGTGTAACGATGTATAGGCAATGTGACGAGTGCCTATACTTTATCAAATTAATTGGTTGCTTAATTATTTAAAATATCTTAAATTATTTAAGACACGAATTAATTGTTATAATAACTGTTTCTCTCATATTTCTTGTCATATATTAATTCTTGAATTCCTGCAATTATTGTTACATGCT